AAAAAGGGAAAACTAATTTGTGCATGTTAGCCAGATAATGGAAATTACTGTAATCAAATACATTTGATTAAAAATTATTGTTTTGGTATGCTATGATGCTTATTTGTTGAGTTGATTAAATTGATATTAAGATTATACATTCTAATGGTTAGGAGTGTTATGTATGAATTTTTGGGGTTTGGCATTGCATGCAAAATTTGGGGGTTTAGAAAGAAAATCTTGGACCCAAACTTGGTGGCTGCTGAAGAAGGTGCTAAGGTTGTCAAGGTAATGCAAGATGGTAGTGGAGAATTTAAAACCATCACTGATGCCATTAAGAGCGTACTTGATGGGAACGCCAAGCATGTAATTTTTTACATCGGAGTTGGAAATTATAATGAAAAAAAACCAAAATTGAGAAGACAAAGCCTTGTATGGGGCACAACAGAATATGTCAAGCATAACCTTTGCAAGAACAGCTAAAACATATGGAACTATAGCGCTACATTAATTGTTGAACTAGATTACTTTGTGGTAGCTAACATCATAATCTCGGTTTGTATACTATATTCTTTAAAAAATTGTGTTAATAAAAGATTCAAATGTGTTATCATTTTTTCGTACCTTTCTTTTCATTTTTTGTGTTTTTTGTTAGTGAACTTGATGGTATAGAACTCTACACCTAGACCTGATGAAAAAATGGTAGGAGTTCAAGCAATTGTATTGAGAATTTCTGGTGACAAAGAAACATTTTATAATTGCAAGATTTATGGACTCCAAGACATAGTGTGTTATGATAGGAATAAACATTTTTTCAAAGACTTCTTAATCCAAGGCATTATGGATAATATTTTTGGAAGTGCGAAGTCAATATATTTGGTACATAAAATTTTATAAACCGCAATATTTATATGTTAAAATCTATTTGTGACACACTAAATATAATTGTAATAAATATTGGGAATTTATTTTAAAATGCAGAAGAATGAGTTGAGAACGCTTAACGATACTAAGATTACAGTTATAGTGGCACAAGCAAGGAAAAGTGAAGACAGAGAACAATGCTTACATATTTGTACATTGTGACGTTAAAATAAAAAGAGCCCATAAAACTTAATTCCACCGTAAACAACACCTCAGCATATCAATGACATTGAATATGGCTCAACCGCCGATAACTCTCAGAAGATAACCAAACAACAGTTACACGGTTACTGAGGAACGACCATAGGTAATAATATAAGCAATACATGAGATAGGACAGATAACTAACTTGATCGTCAGAGTCTTTTTTGCAGGTACATCCGAGATGCTCGAGAAGGAAGATCAGAGAGTGAAGATTCACCATAGCAACCAACCTCGCACGACCTCGGCTAGGCTGGAAAAGAGAAGACGACTTGTCCGAATCAAAGATCCGACTTGATTCGTGTAAGAACAACTTTGATGGTTAAAAGGAGGGAAGGGTCATGAGTAACTCTAATCTTGCCTCTATTCACCACTTTACTAACATGTTGGTTTCAGTGAAATTGCATTTGGATCTCTTGATGTGTCTTGAATGAGAAAAAAAAATTATTGACAGATGAAATTCTGTTAAGGAAGAATTCTCCAATAATCAACAAAATTGATAAACAATTCACATCAATAACATAACAGATGAAATTTGATATTTTAATTAGTGAATTTTAAGTAAAAAAATTTAATCAACTTATTTTTTTAAAATATTTTAAGTAAAAAAATGAAAAAGGGAATTTCGGTAAAATAAAATTAACATAGTGATCAAATTTATTTAGTTTCATAATTAAAAAGGTATTTAATTGACTAAAAAAATACATGAATGATAAAATCACATATTCTTTAAACTAAAATAATATAAAATATAATTAAATTTTGAATAATGCTGTATCCTTCGAATAAAATTTTTGATTTTGATGGGTGATTTGACTATATTTTCAGCTAAATTTTTCAGAAGATTTAGCATCTTTTAAAAATTTTATACCGATAATCAAGTATAATTTTTTTTTCCATAGTTAGTCTAAGCTCAAAACACGCACACACACTAATTTGTTCGTCTATTTCTTAAAATGAAATGTGAAAAGGTTTAGTAGGAACTGGACACGCATCGCCATGTGAAGAATTAATGGACGTGAAGCCGCCGGCACTGGACCTTTGGTTTAGTAGGAAAGTGGGAACGCATCTCCACTCACCCACCCTTCACTTTCCTGTTCCACACGCTTAATCAAAAATATCTAATCAGGACTGGTTATGCATCTTCTTCTATTCATGAAAACTTTTATTATTAATTTTTAAAAATAGTTATATAATTTTTTTTAGATATATTTTATCTCTAAGAAAATATCTATTTTTATTTCTTAAAAATATGACGATGAGAAGTATCTATTACCATATATTTTTTAGACTTTTTATTTTTATTTATTTTATTTGAATTATTTTGAATTTAAAAATATTTAAATATAATAATTTAAAAAAAATATATCTAAAAATAATTTTTCTATTTATAATATTTATGTAAATCGTATTCTTGAAATTATAAAATAATAAACAAGCACCCTTGAGAAACTTAAAGATATGAAGTTTAACCCAAACCTCAACCTTTTGGTTTTTACCAATTAAATAATTCTTTTGACATCCCACTAAGTTTACTACTAAGTGATATGACCATCATTATTTTTTTATATAGAAAATTTAACTATTTACAACTTTATACAATTGATTTTGCAACAAATTAAGAGAAATAAATAGAAGAAGAAAAATATAGAACGTATATCTTTTATAAGACAAAATATTGTTCCGAAAAATTATTATAAGCAATAATTTTTAGAAATATTTAGCTCAATTATATATATAAAAAATAATAAGATTAATATAATAAAATAAACAAATAAAGAATATTATTATGTAGATAAATTTATTGAATTTTATAATAATTATTTTGCCAATAACCATGAATAGAAATTAAACTCTATAACCAATATCATTCTTATATTTTTTTAAGTCAATTCGATAAAAGAAAAAGTATTTTACGTCAAGTAATTTGCTTGTAAGAGTCTAATTTGGGGAAAATTATGGGGTAGGAAGAGGGAGAGGAGGAAGTTTAAGGTGACACATTTGACCATGTTTGATATTTGAAGTCACGAACTCAACTACTTCTGTTTGACTGGTACATGTGCATCTCGTTATTAAAGTGGCAACACTAGAGATTACAGAGTGTGGTATCAGTATTCCTCTTCACCATTAATTCTCTACTCTCTTCTCTTGCTTCAATGGCTTCCGCCACCCCCAAAGAGATAGCCAGGGAGCTCCCTCCTCTGCTCCGCGTCTACACCGACGGAAGCGTGGAGCGCTTCCTAGGCTCTCCGTTCGTGCCACCCACCCTCGAAGACCCCGAAACATTAGTCTCATCGAAAGACGTGGTAATCTCCGAAAACCCGTCCATCTCGGCGCGCGTCTTCCTCCCCAAAGTCGACCACCAAAAGAAGAAGCTTCCGATCCTGGTGTACTTCCACGGCGGCGCGTTCTGCCTGGAGTCGGCGTTCTCCTTCCTCCACCACCGCTACCTGAACATCATAGCTTCGGAAGCCAAGGCTCTAGTGGTTTCGGTGGAGTACAGGGTGGCGCCAGAACACCCTCTTCCCGCGGCATACGAAGATAGCTGGGAAGCCCTCAAATGGGTAACCTCTCATTCCAGGAATGAGAGAAAAGATGGTGAAGCGTGGTTGATCGACCACGGTGAGTTTACCAGGTTTTACGTAGGGGGTGACACCTCGGGTGCCAACATTGCACATAATGTTTGTCTTCGTGTGGGTGGTGAGGCTTTAGGAGGTGTCAGAATAGCGGGCGCGGTTCTTGCTTTTCCCTTGTTTTGGGGTTCGGAACCGGTTTTGTCCGAACCGGTTGAGGGGCACGAAGAGAGTTCGCCCATGCGGGTTTGGAAGTTTGTGTACCCTGATGCGCCACGTGGCATTGATAACCCTTTGATCAATCCTTTGGCTCCTGGGGCTCCTAGCTTGGCCACCCTTGGGTCGCGTAAGTTGTTGATTTTTGTGGCGGGGAAGGATGATCTTAGGGAGAGAGGGGTTTGGTACTATGATGCTGTTAAGGAAAGTGGGTGGCAGGGGGATGTGGAACTCGTTCGTGTCGAGGGAGAGGAACATTGCTTTCAGATCTATCATCCTCAAACTCACAATTCAAAAGGCGTTATTAGTCGTATAGCTTCTTTCCTCGTTTGAACAACAATTTCGGATTAATTGTTATGTGCTGCATGATTTTACGTTTCCTTTTGATTCTCAGTGAATGAGACAAACTTATGGACCAAATGTTTCAAAAGTTTATCTACAATCACATTCACCTTTTTGTATTTGTGGACACATTTTCCAACAGCATTTCCATTCATCCAATATCTCAATTTCAGATTTTTAACTTTCTACTCAATCGCAGAAAATTTAAGAATACTTTACTATATCTGCTTGTTTGAATGATAAATCTCAACCTGGTTTATTGTGTTGAGTCTCACACCTAGAATAGTAATCGGGTACGGAGACTCTTAACTAATTCAAACCTATTTAATGATTCTTAAATTTACTATATCAACTCGTTTGAATGATAAATCTCAACCTGTTTTAATTTTGAGTCTCACACCTAGAATAATAAGAGGGTAAATTCAAATTTATTTAATGGGTTAAGTTGGATTTCAAAAAAAATAATATGCACAAATTCGAATTAATCTAATCTTTTAATTTTTAATCAAGTTAAATAATAGAGCATCGAAATCTAATTTAACTTGGTCTATTTACAGCGTAATAATATGTTAAGTCACTATGTTTAATATAAGATTTTTGCATACCTACAATATCAAGATTTACATGTCATAATATATATATATATATATATATATATATATATAAATAGATAAATAGATAAAAGTTCAATTAACTACTAAATCATCTACTAATAAGTCTTTTTAAAAATTTAGTTTATGTTATTATTTATGGGTTAAAAATATTATATTCGTAATAAAATATCAAATAATTTAAATTTATTTTAAAATATTTAAAACTTAATAGATAAATAAATATAAGTATTTTGATTCGATTAACTTAATCTAATTTAACCTAATCCCACTTTTGCATGGTTGGGTTGGATAGGGTTTCGATGTTTCTTCATCACACAAATAAGAAGGAAATTCATTTTGGAAATAGAAGATGGAGACAACTAAACTTTAATATAAACATGACAGATGTACATGATTGTAACACTTGGCATCCTCCCATTTGCACCGTCTCCGGCAAACAACACTCGATGCCACCACACAAATCATATAAAATCACAATTATTTGAATAATTAAAAACAAGAAATTGATAACGCAGGAAAGCTTCGTAAAAACTAACGACATATACAGGATCGATAAAAACTAAAAATAATTTTATAGATAGTTAATATCTTATTTAATTATTATCTCACACATTAACTATAAATTAATAAATAACTTATCACTAAAATTTATATCACTTTTACAATTATTAATCAATAAAATGATAAAATAATAAATAATTATTATTCAAAAAAATTATTTTGTGTGTGGGCTGGCCTAGTAACCCACAGGCCACAGACCTCAACCTGTATAATATAATGAGTCATATAGACCAAGTCAAATAAGTTTACATTTAAAAACACCAACATTTTATTTAAGACAGATGATAAACACACATCTACTCTCGTATAAACACACCTCCTTTTTTAAAAAATATATATAAAATATCTAAATTACCCCAAACCCGCACCCCCGTTTCCCTTCCCCGCACCCTCATTCTGGCGCCGCAATCTTCCTCTCACGCTTCAAATATGCCTCTGCCGCCTCCGACGTCGGCGAGTGGATCCTCTTCGCCGCTCCCACGCCCTTCAACTACTTCGTGAACAAGCAACAACGTGGAGTCCAAGCCACGCTCCTCTTCCAAGTCCAAGTTCGCAGGCCAATCCAACGAAACCACGCCTCCATCCTTCGCACTCACGCAGACTCTCTGATACCTCACCTCCGAGTCCCTCTCCCTCTCTCCCTCTCCGCCTTTCACGTGAATCCTCCCGCGGTTGACGCTCATGTAGTGGCGCTCCTCCAAAAGGAGCCTCTCGGGGGCGGCGAGCGATATGGAAGGGTAGCGCAGCAGCACGAAGCAGTTCAAGGGCGTGGGAGCGGTGAACAGTCGGAGGCGGCGAGGCGAATTTGAAGCGCGAGAGGAAGATTGCAGCGCCGGAAGGAAGGTACGGGGAAGGAGGTGCGGGGAAGAGAAACAGGGGTGCGGGGAAGGGAAACGGGGATGCGGGTTTGGGGGTAATTTAGACATTATATATATATTTTTTTAAAAAAGGGGTGTACTTATATGAAAGTGGAGGTGTGTTTATCATCTGCCAACCTATTATCCGACCCGATCAAAATTTAATGGGTTGGATTGAGTTGGATTTGTGCAAAAAAAAATTTAAAACCCAATTTAACCCAACCCAATCACAAACAAGTTAGATTGTGTTAATCAGATCAACATAATTATATTTATTTATTATAAAATTTTAAATATTTCAAAATAGATGTAAATCATTTGATACATTGTTGCAAATTTTATTTTATCAACTTATAAAGCAAACAATGATACAAATTAAATTCTAAAATAAATTTATTAATTTGTTACATTATATTTAATATTTAATATTTAATATTTAATATTTAATATTTAATTTTTAATATTTAATATTTAATTTTTAATTTTTAATTTTTAACTTTTAATTTTTAATTTTTAATTTTTAATTTTTAATTTTTAATTTTTAATTTTTAATTTTTTAATTTTACATCCACAACATTTAATTTAGTACTTTTTTTTTACACATCTTTCTTTCTTTTTTCAATTTTTACATGTACTTCCTTACCTTTCCTCCATCATGTGAAAACTAAAAGAAAAAAAAATGTGTGAAAAAGAAGAAGAAAATAGCAAATTAAAAGTTAGAGGTGTAAAATTAGAATAAAAAAAAACTACAATATTTTATAATATAAAAAAAAAAAAAAGATGTACTTATAAGAAAAAGAGGTGTATATATCACGAGCCTTTAAATAATCACATCTTAACCAAAAAAGTAGTTAAACAGGAAAGCTTGATCCATCTTGAAATCAAAAGAAATTAAAATATTTATAAAAAAAGTACATAATTATTATAATTATTTTATATTATATATTTAAGTGTTAGACATTTTAATATTTATTATCTTTTTCAGATCCTCTTCTCGCATCAAGTATTACATATAATTTTTCAAATACTATTAAATTTTGTTAATCTTAATTTAATTTTAAAAATTAATTACATGTATACAGATTGTCGATCTATACTAAAAAAAAATATCATTGACATCCTATATTAAAATAATAAATATAGGAATAATTATATATCTTTATAATTTTAATTATTAACGTATAAATTAGTAGAAATATAAATAAAATAAATATGATATATAAATTATATATAGAGTAAAGTTTAATTGATAAATGATGTAAAAAAACTATACTAGCAAAGATTAAAAAAATAGAAAATCATGAAAAATATAATATATCAAATGAAAAAGTCTTGATGAACAGGGATTAGGTCTAATAAACAAGAAAGTTAATTTATTAATGTGACAAGCTAAGAAAGCTAATTTATTAACATGACAAACTAAGTTTTAAAATCTTGCTCAAAAAAGTAACCACATTTAATATTTTCAAACAAAATTGTAAGAAAAATAAAGAGTTAATCACTTATACACTATTAGTGTAAATTTTTTTTTATACAAACAACTAATTATATCTCTTAATTATGTCATGCCACTATAAACACTTTTATACAAATAACTAATTATATCTCTTAATTATGTCATGCCACTATAAACACATTTACTTTAATAATGACATAACATAATTAAAAGATATAATTAGTTGTCAGTGTAAAAAAATTTTACACCGATAATATATAAGTGATTAACTTAAAAATAAATACTTAGTAATTTGAACGAAAAAAAGATGGAAAAGGCTTTAAAAAAATGGGGGCTTTTAGGGTTGTGGGCTGTGGCTATTATGAGCACCAAATACCAATGGCATGCTACTTTTTTCAGAAACACTTTTGTTTTGTGCAATTAAATAATGTACCCTCTCTTTGGTTCTCTTCGTTGGCATCATTAACCGTTGGAGTACCATTTAAATTAAAGATTGTGGGAACCGCACTAAGCTCTAAACTATTTCTCAGATCAACAAAACAAAAGAGGTACCCTTTTCTCAATTCTAGGGTTTATGTTTCTCACTCTGCAGTTTGTTAAACTTGTCCCTCTCTCTTTCAGTTTATCATGTTCCCAGTTCCTTGCGCTTTCTATAATGCCATTCAAATTTTTGTTTAAAGTTTGTAGCTTTGCGTACTCTCAGATTTGTTGCAATGCATTTATAGCTTAAAGCTTTGATTTTTATTAAGATGTATTTGATTTGTTGGCGAACCAAACCAAACCAAACTGTTTGTCGGTTATTTATTACTGTCGACGATTTTGTGGGCGTTTTCTTCTCTTCCGAGGGAAAAAACATGACCTGTTTTGCCACTCCCTAACCCTTTTCCTTTTTCATCATGCCTTGAAGTTTTGCTTAGTTTCATTAATAGGTTATGATTGAAATGGAAAGAAACATGCCCTACTTTATTATTGCAATTAATTATGTTTCCCGTATTTGTTATAGTAGCAATTATTTCTCGGATGGGTTTCTTTTGCTTCTGCTCCTATTCACTGACCTGTTTTGCAAAACATGTTTTTCTTAACTCGTTCAAAACACTAACTTGTATTAAGTCCTCAACATGGAGTGTGGGGCTTTCAATAATGATGACATTAACTAGTGACTTAACTTGGTATATCTCTTCACTTGCATTTTCGGTGTGTAAGGGCTTAGAAAATGTTTTATTTTCTCCGATTGTATTTGATACCACATTGGGGATATGCATCTACGAATGCCATTGCTTATCAATTGTTTTCACTAACAAGTCTGCATGAACTAATTTTTATTCTTGTTATGTCTCCTAAAATATTTCTTATATAGGAAGTATTTACACTTGCAGTTCTTGTAGGTTTCATTGCCATGGAGCTGAATTCACAGCAGAGACCATTTTCAATCAAATTATGGCCTCCTAGTCAGAACACTAGACAGACCCTTGTGGAGAGGATGACCAACAATCTGACTACTAAATCTCTTTTCACACAGAAGTATGGAACTTTGGACAGGGAAGAGGCTGAAGAGAATGCAAAGAGGATTGAAGATGTGGCTTTTACAACAGCAAATCTACACTACGAGAAAGAGCCAGATGGTGATGGAGGTTCTGCAGTCCAGCTTTATGCCAAAGAATGTAGTAAGCTCCTCCTAGATGTTCTTAAAAGAGGACATGGTAAAGAGGATAACAAAGAATTGGTGACATCTGTTAATACCACTGCACTTCGTGAATCTGTTTTTGATATATCTAAAGGCCAAAGGACCTTCATTGAAGCAGATGAGGCACGAGAACTCTTAAGTCCATTAAAGGAAGTGGGAAATTCTTTCACCAAAATATGCTTTAGCAACAGAAGCTTTGGAGTAGGAGCAGCGCAAGTTGCGGAGCCCATACTCAGTTCCCTCAAGGACCAATTGAAAGAAGTAGATCTATCAGATTTTATTGCTGGAAGATCAGAAGCAGAAGCTCTTGCTGTTATCAAGATATTCTCAACTGCCTTGGAAGGCAGTGTCCTCAAGTCTTTAAACCTCTCTGACAATGCATTAGGTGAGAAAGGTGTTAGAGCATTTGGAGCACTTCTGAAATCACAGAAATGTTTGGAGGAGCTTTATTTGATGAACGATGGAATCTCAAAGGAAGCTGCTCAAGCAGTTTCTGAGTTGATTCCTTTCACAGAGAAACTCAAAGTTCTTCATTTTTATAATAATATGACTGGAGATGAAGGCGCATTAGCTATAGCTGAGGTTGTGAAGTGTTCTCCTTTATTGGAGAATTTTCGTTGTTCCTCCACAAGGATAGGCACCGAGGGTGGAGTTGCCTTATCTGATGCTTTAGGAAGTTGTACCCATCTGAAGAAGCTTGATTTACGAGATAACATGTTAGGTGTGGAGGGTGCGGTTTCTCTGAGCAAAGCTCTTACCAAGCATGCAGAGCTAAGAGAGGTATATCTGAGCTACCTGAACTTTGAAGATGATGGTGCAATTGCTGTAGTTGATGCCCTTAAGGAATCAGCTCCACATCTTGAAGTTCTAGAGATGAGTGGAAATGACATTACAGCTGATGCTGCTCCTGCAATAGCAGCCTGTGTAGCAGCGAAGCAGTTTCTTTCCAGGCTGAACCTCTCTGAGAATGAACTCAAGGATAAAGGTGCCAACCTGATAAGTAAGGCTCTAGAAGGCCATGTCCAATTAAAGGAAATTGATCTAAGTTCCAACCAAATAACCAGAGCTGGGGCTCAACAATTGGCTGTGACCGTGGTGCAAAAGACTGATTTCAAACTTCTGAACATTAATGGGAACTTCATTTCTGATGAAGGCATTGGTGAGTTGATGAAAATATTTAAAAAATCTCCAGGCACGCTTGGTCCATTAGATGATAATGACCCTGATGGAGAGGACAATAATGAAGAATCTGATGAAGAAGGTGGTGCGGATGAACTGGAGTCCAAAATGAAGAACCTTGTAGTTGATTAAACGGTAGTAACTAAAGTCTACTTCATGTTCTACTGCACAAGTAACTCTTATGACAGTAGTAGAGGGTTTCTTGACCATTTTATTCCTGGCAGTTTATGTAACTATTAAGAAGCATCAATTGTCAGTAGTCAATCCTTGAGGGGGCATAAAATGTCTGCAATGAAATCTTTGATTTCAGTGTTTCCTTTCATAGTTTCGTTTTATTTTGCTAGATTATGTTATTTTCAGTTGTATCCCCCCAGTCATCAGTGTAATGACACCCTGTAATCGATGCTGTGTTATTTTGTTTAACATCTGATTCTGCTAGCTATTTAACTAAGCTAATGGATCTTTCCCTTTTTGAACCTAAATGATTAATCCACCATTATGAAAATTCAAGTTTTATAATGTCGTTTAAAGAAATGTGCTAACACACTCTTTATTATTTCATTATTAGGTGAATTTTCAGGATACTACCATTAATTGAAAATAGAGTTGAGTCTTTTTTTTAGTGAGATGAACCTTTCACTTAATAATAAGGAATACTAAGTAGATCATTAGATATTTTATTAGCATTTCTCCTCATTTAATTGATTTCACTTTGTTACATGGATTTGTTTAATTATCCATTGTTTATTCAACAGAATCATATTAATTATAAAGCAATTTTTGTATCATATTCACCAGGTTTATAACTATAAGGATCTTGAATACATCTTTCTAAATGATTATATAATTCTTATATAAAATTCTTAGATGTTACCACTTAAACTAAGAAGTCTAGTATCCCTGTCAACGTAGAATAGTTTGAAAATGAACTTACCATGATATTAGCTTACAACACTAAGTTCCTTATGGAATTAGTCCACCAACTACATCCATATATTATGTCCCTCTTCTACTTAGTTAGAGACTAAGTTCTTAACCTTGTTCTTAACCCACATACGAATCAACATTGGTTTCTTATAGTTGATATGCCTTAACCTAACCCATATATTGCCTCAACTAAGGTTTTAGAGGAGACTCAATCATCCATTCCAAGAGATAACACCTATTTAAGAAAGGTTTATTAACAACTAGGCTCGTAGAGCACCATACCAATATTCTCATGATGAGATATCTAACATTTGAAAACAACATTTTCTTTAATCCTAAGTCAATTAACATGCCTGAATGTTTACAATATTCTCAACATCACACCTCAATAGTGTATCAACACAATATACCTAAATGCCTAAAACACTCTCAACATCACACCTCAACAATGCTCAACTATTTACATTACCTCAAGTCAATAGATATAAATCTGATAGCATTAATCAATCTACAACACAAATGCACCTCAACAGTTCAACCATGTAACCATCTATGTATAATATCCTTTGTCAATATATATAGGCCCTAACCAAACCTAGCAATAGACAACATGAAATAGATTCATTTAATATATCCATGTTCACCAATTATTCATGAAAACAACAAGTTAATACAAGGCAACTCGTGCTCGACGCCATTAAGCCAGCGAGATCTCTTCCTTACCCATATTCGACGGCATACAACGCACTCTCAGTGTGGATTAGGTAGAGACCTATAGGCCCTCATGCTTGGTGTGACAAAGTCTCACACTCAACCTCAAACTAGGTAGAGATGAGTCTCTCTCCTCACATTTGACGCCACTCCTTTGATGTTCGATGTCAATCTAGACAGAGTTAAGTCTCTCACCTCACACCTGACATCATTTCAACTCGAGACAATTTTCTCTCCTTACACCTGGCACCACTAATCCTACGCTTGATTGGGCAAGACAAATTACCCTTGGTTGAAACGATGCTTAACATCATGAAGGCGTGCCTAGTGTGACTGTGATTTATACACCTGTAGATCACAAATTTGGCTCAAAGCCACCTAAAAACTAGAAGATACTAACATGCAATGTAACACAATATGCATATGCATCATCCATAACTAATTTTCAACCAAAGATAGTACATGCAACATCCATGGTAGAATCATCAAGATTTCTTCAACATGTTTCCAACACTCAAACTCCATTTTTCATCATACAATTGAAAAATCCAACATACACAACCATATTTTGATATAATCAGATAATATGTCAATCACACAACTCAACACAAACAAGGTTCTAACTTCTCTTATCTCAGAGTTGAAATGAACCAAGAAAAGAGAAGAAGAAAATGAGTGTCTTCGAGCTATCACTAAAGCTCCACACCAATCACAACCTTGATTCTTAGTTTCTGGGCTTCGCATCAACAATCCAACAATGAATCAATGATGAGCTCCTCCACCTTCGAGGAGCCTAGAAGAAAGAAAGGGAAGACTAGAGCTCTAGAGTCCTTCTCTCTAAGATTCTTAAGAACTGAATTTATGAAGCTCAATTCTAATAAGAAACCTTATACATTCCTTTCCTCAAGATTAAACTGAATTCCTGTCTAAAAAAGCCCTCTAAAATACCTAAAGACTCCTCAAGAGTTCCTTAACTTTTAGAGTTTCTCAACATCTCACCTCAAAACATAACATATAATTATTGGTAAAAACACAATAATTATCAAAAGCTTACAATGTTACACAAGGTCCCATTTTTAGAGGGGCATCATTTTTTTTAATTTATATAAATATAAAAAATTTATATAATTAAATTATATACAAAAAATAGTATTATAAAAAAATAAATTAATCAACAACAATTAATCAATTGATGTATAGTGTTTCTATTTTTAATAAAAATCTACTTGTAATTTTAGAATCTTAAAATCAAATTGAAAACTTCCATTTATTAATCATTGCTAATTTCATGGTGACATGTCATCATTATTAATTTTTTTCTTCCATTATAACAAATTGAGAGTTCAAAGTCAGGGATTAAAAATATGTAATGAGATATTATTATTTAATCTCATTATCATTTACTCTCATTATCATTTACTCATTAAAAACTTGTAAATTATATCATAGATTAAATTTAGTTTTTTGGTCTATACTTGTCTAATTGTTTGAATTTATACATATTACATAAAAAAATAGCCTTTTAATCTTCTAAAATAAAAAAGAAATAAATAAATTGAAATTGAAATTGAAATTTACTTTAGATGTCTATTTTGAATGGTTTTAAGAAAATTTTTGATGTCCTTATTATTTTACAGTAAAAAAATACAAAAATAATATTTAAACAATTGACATATTTTTAATCACCTAAGACCATAAAAAAAATTCAAGACTGACCCGGCCCTACAATCCACCCTCCCTCAAATACATTCTAATTCTCTTCCGCCAAACATGTGGCTAAAGTTTTCCTATAAAGTGTAAATAACACATGAAAGGCAGGGAATTTATATAACAATTTTTCAGTCACATACTTCATATTCTTTATAGTAACCACACGTTTTAAAATTTAGAGATATTTTTGTCTTTCAAAAAATATTATCTTTTAATTCTCTTTTCTATTCATCAATAAAATAAATAGAGAATTTCATATTTTCTTTTCTTGTCTTCATTTTCTGTCTTTTTTATCACCATTTTCTTTTCTACTATCACTGTTCCAACCGACCAATTTGACAGAATGGGTGAGGACGGGAATAGATATTACCATTTTGAAAGATGAAAAGAATAGTTTCTGTTAAATTAATCACGTTAATTTTGAAAGGTGAAAAGAATAGTTTCTGTTTAATTAGTTTAATCATATTAACTTAGAAAGACGAAAAATACTATTTATATATAAAAATAAAAAATTTGATTAATTTAATTTTTTTTAATCAAAATTTTCATTTATCTAATAATTTGTTTAACCAAGTATGATAAATGTGTACATTTATAATAATTATCTTAAAATTCAAATTATGCAAGATATTTTTATTTAATTGTTTTATAAATTTAAATAAGAAAATAAATTTTTATTCTCAATTAAATAGAATATTCAAATCACGATTGAAATAAATTAATGTATATTTATTAATATAATTCCAACTATCTTAATTAATATAATTACGTATTTGTATGAATTAAAAAGGGAAAACATTTATATTTTAGGAGAAGCATTTGCCTAAAATAAATCCCGTGATACTTCTTGATTTAAATTAAATTTTTCTAAAAATTAGAATAAAATTTATTTGGTATTATGAATTAATTCGAATGAGAATATATGGCTTTATTAGTAATTAGAATATTCAAATCATAATTAGATATTTCATAAAAAGATTATCAATTTAATCACTAGGTCTATTTTTTTTTTTCCATTACTTTCAAATATTTTTTATATTACATTATTTATTTTATAACTTTATCATTATATATATTTCAAGACAGCAATACTAATGTGTGATGGTATTTAAAAATATGCAAAATTATTATCATACTAATAAACATGGTGAAAGTATAAAGTTTACTTTTTAAAAAAAAATTATTACACAAACTATAAAGTCTACTTAAAATGTTTGTAAAGATGAGAAAAGGTTAGAGTAATTAAAAACATGAGAATCTAGGTTCAATCCACGTTATGATCATTTTTATAATTCTTTTTATCTTAAAAAAATATTTGTTATTTTTATCTTATCAGATATCTCTATTCATTCAGAAATAAGAAACTTTTGAACTGTCCGTAGACATAGATCACACTGATTGAACCACGTAATTTGTGTGTCATCTTCTTTCTCTTCTCTTTCTTTTACATATTGTCATAACAAGTTAGAAATATTTTGAGACATGATATAAGATTAACAATAGAATACAAAGTATAAAAGATTCATTATTTTTTTTTTATCGAAATGAATTACTATCAAAGTTTAAACGTAGGTAAGATGTTGTATATTCTACATTTCTACTCCATCTCTTTCATCATTACTCCATATTATCATATTTGAGATAAACGGTGCAAGGAAGTTGAGAGGCGATGGAGTGGTCCAAACTGGTAGAGAACAAGACGTAACGGATAAAAAGAATAATAGTGCAAACAAAATCAGTGGTGGAGACTGGAGACTGGAGGAGGACCTCTTCCAATCCCTCAATCCAAACCACCGCTGTAAACCTGCTTTTTTCGTACCTACAACTATTTCCTGCTAAAAATATCTTACTATTTATTATTTTATCAATCACACTCATTCGTATGGACGAGAAAATTACTAGAGTTAGCCTAGTAATTGAGTGAAGAGGAGTTAAGATAGTTATAAGCATGAAGATCTAGGTTCAATTTTCATTGTGACCATCTTTGTAATCTTTCCTATCTTTAAAAAAAACAAAAAAAAGATAACTGGACGAGAAGCGCTTCTAAGTGAAGTCTATTTGCCTTCTACAGGCTGTTCTCCATTCGGATATATATATGCATGTTAATATGTTCTTCTTTAGATGCGATATCTAT